TTAGCCAGTTATACGCAAGAGCCAGCATGTTGTGGTTTGAATGTTGGAGACCAGGGCTGAAATCCCCACTTGACTGGGAAACACTTGGGTGACCTTAGGCAAATCACACACTTAGCCTCAGAAGAAGCCAAAAACAAACCATCTCTGAATCAATTTAACCAAGTAAACTCCATGTTGGTGCCTTAAGATCACCACAAAACAGAAATAATGTGAATGCATATTACAAGAACAACAGTTGCACTTCCATTATCTCAACAAGAATAATATTTATGTTGACTCCAGAAGTAAAAGCAGAACTATTATTAAGGGTAATTCTGAACACAGTCAAAGCTGAAGGGGTCTAGTGGCAGTACGTCTGTGCTTGCATTCATAGTAAGAGGGCTGATCAAAGTAGAATCTGAGCCAAAATCACACAGTGAAATGCTTATGATTCATGTTATAAAAAATTATGCCGTTCTCAAAAATGTGCTCTTACTCAGAACATATTTCTGGCATGATATACAACATGCAGGCTACTTTCTTGCAGCAATCCTAACACATTACAATCCCTTAAAGCATCAGGGGTTGTGTGGAGGTGAGATCCTAAATCCAAATCCTACTCATATTGGATTTCCATTCACATGGAATTATGCAAACCTGCTTCACTTTAATTGCAAAAGAGTTTCTACATTGTGTCATTTCCTATCTTGGACATTGCTTTCACCTGCTGAGTATTCAGAAGTCATCCTTGCTATTTTCTGCAAAGAAGATTCTTTTTAAAAAGGAAAGAGAAAAGTTAAAATGCTTTTGTATCACACATGTTCCAAATTTGTTGATTTTTGTGGCCTGCATCAATTCTACAATGTAGATACACCCCAGGTTCCTTGGTAAGATAGGTAGCCGATCAGTTTGAATATAAGCCCCACTCTTTTGCTGTGTTAACAGATTTATTTGACTTTTTTATTGCTTGTTTTGGTACATCTCATCTGCATCTTGATATCTTTTAGTTTTGCTCTAAGGACCTCATCA